TCGACTCCAGGTGCGCGCTCGATGCAGGATGGGTCACGGATCAAAGTGGCGCAAGAACAATCAAGGACCAATACCTAGTGATACCGAATAAAATAACGCGTTTCACTGTCGAAGCCACTACACCCATCGCCCATTTTCTTTTTCGTAAGGAGTGATGTCCCCTGGATTTGCACTTGTCCGCCGGACGAGGAACCCAGTAGTGGCAACAGCGTCCAGGCGGGCCTCGACTTCCGCACCATATAAACTATCCGGCTCGTACGAATGCGTTTCCAAATAGAGGCGCTCCAGGACAGGGAACGGGGAGTCCCGACCCCCGTGCTCCGACAGGCATTCCGCCATGTCTGCGACGGCGCTTCCTTCCTGCTCATAATCCAGACTTATAGCGAGAGTCGCGAGCGCCGGGAGAGCAATGGGGCGCCAGGAGGGGGCGGCATGGTGCGTGAATATTTCGAAGAGTGCGGCCTCTGCGGCGCATTGGCAGTTTATGATGCTGATGCCTTGGAGAGTGGGGTTACACCGTATGAATGCGAAGAGGTCGTCCGCGCACATGTCGCTGACACGCTCGAGGTGAAGATGGCGCAGTTCGAAGTTGGACCGCGTATAGAAGCGCTGGAACGTCTGCGTCGACAACTCACCGACGTCCATATATAACTTCTCCAAATTCGGAAATGTAAAGGCCTCGAAGAAGACCGTAGATGGGACATCGCTCTCCACAGCGAAGTAAAGTTCCCGTAGATTGCGCATGGATGTAGGTAAGACTCCGGTGCTGTCCTCGGTGTCCTGGAAACCGCGTTCGATGAAGTAGAAGCGGGCACTCTCTAGTTGTGAACATTGCATCAACAGATTCCGCGCATCATGGAAGGATAATTCCATGTCCACGCGTAATTTCTGTAGCTGGGACCACGGAAATGTGGATAGGGAAAGCGGGATGTCGTCGACGCATGAGATATCGAGGGAAGATAGGCTTGGCGCATTCCGGAACCCGTCCAAAACCCCGTGAATATCGGTTCCAGGGTTCCGCGCCTCGGAAGTAAAGAGGACGGTGAGAGTGAAGAACGCGAGCGTCGGAAACAATGTTTCCTGAGCGAAAATGACCGGCGTAAGCTGTGCGATCTGGTTCCTGGTGATATCCAACGTGATGTCGGTGAGCCTTAGGTGCGATTCCCACAAGATTCGGAAAAACGTGCTGTTCCCGACAGGGGGGATATAGGGAGCACCCCAAGGCGAACATACCAGATTCAGAATCGACAGTGACAAGGGAAGACTTTGAGATCTCGCCAGCAGATCCCGCACGACAGAAGCCGTGTCAATATTGACAACCGATGCTGTGGGGACGACCACCCTGTCCCAAAGTCGAGGCAGGCCGTGGGATACCACACGCCAGTGCGAGCAGACATGGCCCAAGAGCATAGGCGCGCGACATGGATCGCCGATCGACGATGTCCCGGTACGAGTGTGCTCCGCGCACATAACGAATATGTTTCCAAGGATTTCTGCGGGGAAACGACGCAAGGCGGACAGAGCGCCTCGCAGAGGCGCCAGATAATCTGACCTCCGCGAGGATTGCAACTTGACTTCTGCAAGTATCAAGGACAGCGTCGCGGCGGTCTGGTCGAGCTGTGAGATCTCAGCTTCGCCTGCATCGAGCAAGCGCCGGAGTTCCAATGCCTGCGCCTCGGTAGGAACGGCGCCGGACTTTAGAAAGTGAGCCAACGCGGCAGAGTCCATGGATCTGCTGCAGTGCATGAGCCACTGGACTGGACAGTAGTTGAACCGGACGACGGACCTCCCAGTGTACTATCAAACTGCTGTCGGGCTCTCCAACGTTTTTTCACGGAAGAGGAAGGCGGGGTAAAAAGAAGCGTCGTTGAATGGTTGCCGCAACTTGAATGGAAGTAGTACTGGGTCAAGACTCCAAGCTTCTATACGAGATGGGGGCGGGAATCAAGGAGGTTGCATCGCGTCACGGTCGTCGGTCCCGGCCATCAATGCATCACATCAACTCGTCTGCGATCGCCGATCTCTCACCAATCTCACCTTGCTCTCACCTTGCTCTCACCCACACTGTCCCGGTCGTCTATCCTCCATGGCGTCGACCCTCCAAAAGGCCGAGACCTTGTGGCTCTCTCCAGATGTGGTAATCCTCGGTGCCCAGACCCGCATCTTTCGCGTCTTTGCCGCCATTTTGAAACAAAAATCCTCTGGGAATTCCCTTCAAGTTGCATTCAACCTTGCTCAAGGGTCTCAACCTCAATCTGTGAAAATCGGCTCCGGATCATCATCGGCCATCCTTCGAGATTCGATGCGATCATCGGTTTCAAATTGTTTCGCTGCTCCTCTTGTTCCATCTTCCTCCTGTCATGGCAGAAAACGGCTCGCTTAAAAATTCGAACCTCTCTGGTTCTCTCTGGACGCCGTGGTCCTGCGGGCGGACACGCGCATATTTCGCGTGTTTGCCGCCATTTTGAAGGCGCAATCATCCGTATTTGCGGACATGTTTACGTTCCCCCAGCCTGCCGCGGGGGCAGAGATAGAGACAATGGATGGAATCCCTGTCATCAAGCTTCACGAGAACCCAGATGATCTACAGTTTTTCTTGAGGGCCATTTTTGACTCCAGGTGCGCGTATCCTCGAGAGAAGCGGCTGCAGCTACTGACTCGTTTCAGCTTTTTCATGCCACTCCCGGCAAAGCCTGAGTTCGAACACATCGTCGGAATTCTCCGCCTCTCGCACAAATACGACGTGCCTTATTTGCGCCGCCGCGCCCTTGAGCACCTCGAATCCATCTATCCCTCGTCTCTCGCAGAGTACGACAGCACCCCAAAGGGCAGCTCCCACTACCAGAACCCATCCGCCGCCTTCGCGATGCTTGAAGTATGCGTGGAAGTGGGTGCACTGTGGCTGCTCCCGGCGGCGTATCACTACTTGTGCCAACTTCCCATTTCTTCCATAATCTCCGCACCAGGGTGGAACTCCCTCGCCGAAAAGGAACGCACGGCGTGCCTCGTGGGCCACTCCGCGCAGATCCAATACTTTCCCGAAATGCACAGCTATCTTTCGGTGGAAACGAACGAAGACTGCGAGGATCCGATGGAGTGCAATCAAGTCCGTCTTGAAATCGCCCGCGACTCTCTGCAGGACTTTGACAAATCGATGATGGCCCCGCTGGACCTTGGCGAGTATCACTTGGACGAAATGCACAACAGTGGCGTATGTAAGCGGTGCATGAAGGATAGCAGGTCCACTTACTCGATTGAGAGATATGTGTTCTGGGATCAGCTGCCGGCGATGTTTGGGCTGCCGGTCCAGGGGTGGGTGGACCTGCACGAAATGCGCCAAGTGGCCTTTTGGGGGTGATTAAAGCATTATCCCGACGTTTTTTTTCTCTCATTACCTGTATTGTACAATAGCTAAATATTTCGTTAATTCAATGTCAATCATTGATCGCGGCCTTCAAGGGTAACCCGTGTCAACTTGAAGTCGTGCCGTCCTATGAACCAGTCCAGCGCGTCGTTCATCATCCCATCATACCATGCTTTGCTAATTTACACGACATTAGCTTCCAATCACCAAAAAGTCGCGTCCCTTGCATAAATAGTCGCGTCGGTCCAAGCGATGTATCGCCGGCACGTAATTCATCATCTTACTCTTTCGACCTCCTCCTTCCGGTTTCCGGTTTCGGCCTCGTCCTCCGAACTTGCCTCGACGCGAAAGAGGATAATGCGATAAGATAAATAAGGCAATATATATTACACAGCAAGCGTAAAAGCCTAGTTCGTTTGTTGCTGTTCGTCGCGACAAGTCGTTCGTCCGCGCTCGTTCTCGTTCGTCTCCCTCCCGGCGCGCGCGTCGCCTGGGAGGATAGCGCGAAGCTCGAGCGGGAGGACATCTCATCGCTTGCACGGTGCTCCTGGAGATTCGAAACTTGGTATGGCTCGCATAACTGCCTTGGCGAGACGGGAGCGTGCCAGCAACCATTGAGTGGCGTACTTCTAATTGTACCAACTTCTGCGCCGGTGAGTTCTAAATCCCGCGATTGTCCTGTCAAAGGAATTCTCAGCCTGTGTGCCTGTCATACTCTACATCCACTGCGGATTAAAATTCCTGAACGCTCCAGCAGAGTCGGACGATTCCAGTTCAATTGCTGTAATGCGCGAACCCCCGCGTGCGTCCATATTTCGGGGTAAGATTCATACATTCATATTCTGTAACCGGTTCGTAAACTGTACGTTTTCCTTCATACCCCGTTTGTAGGCTGTCCATTTTTTTCCGCCGCGCGCTCGCTTCGGAAGATAGAGCCAACCACGGACCACATAAATTAAAAAGCGTGTTGATCGAGGTGCGACTGCTAGTACACAAGGCTATGCGATGTTTAAGTGAGGACGATATAATGAGGTCTCTGGACGGGTCCCCGGTGCCTTTACAAGTTTGCCTGGATTCAAGAACATTTGCTTTGAGCTGCCTTGTTGAACTGGGATAATATCACATACTTGCTGCGGGGCTGGGAGTGTGATCGGTACGAGTGCATCTGCATTCTCTGGGTATCTTACGGATTTATGCGGAAGGTCTCTTCGATTCAGGCCAGGCTATTTATATGGTTTTATTTCGCTGTGCGGGTCCATACGCAGAGTTGAGCTTGAAGTAAGGGCGATGACACATAACTTGGGCCATCTATTTTATTTTATTTTATTTGAATTCAAGACCTTTTCAGCTGTGGGTAGCTCGAGCCTTCATCAGGTGTCTGCAAGTCATGTAGAACCGAGGACTAGTACTGTCTGCAGAAGATCTCTGTTCAATACGGGGTCACACTTCCAAGACCTTTTTATTTCGCGGTTCGTCCGAGAACATCTACTTTGGTTTCAATTGCGGGAGGAGGGAACCGCTTGAGAGCACAACGGTTAATGTGTCCTCATCCATGACTAACAGATGAGGTTCTGCAGAAGATCCCTGTTCGATTCAGGCGGGTTCGTCCGAGATCATCCCATGCTGTGAGCAGAAAGGCCTGATAGCACAATGGTTAGTGTGTCTGCATTCGCTCATGTAGAGGCCGAGAACATTCTGCAGAAGATCCCTGTTCAATTCAGGGTTGGGCCATTCATGTCTTTTTTTGATTATTATTACTTAGTCTGCTGTGCTCGTCTCAATAACCGAGGTTTGGTCTGAGCCCCATGCGGTCTGATAGCACCGTGTTTGCATTTCATTTTGCTCGTAAAACTTCTTGTGCAGAAGATCCTGTTCAATTCATGCTTTGCTGTATTTTGATTGTATTTTGTAGTTTGTTCCAGATCATCGTATTTAACTTAAGTTAAAAGGTAGGAGGGGACAGCCTGATAGCAAAACGGTTAGAGTGTCCTCATACATTGTGGAAGTCTGAGTATCGACTCGGGGTCAGGCTATATCCTTTTGTTGTTCTTATTGGTGCGTTCGCCCGAGATCATCTCATTTAACTCGGGGTAAGGAGTAGCAAGGATGGCCTGATAGCATAATGGTTAGTGCTTCTGGAATTCGTATAGACTCTAGGAACTTATTATGCAGAAAATCCCTGTTCGATTCGGGGTCAGGCCAACTGTAACATTTTTGACTCTTTTATTTTTGCACCTCCTCGATACTAGCACCCGTTTCCGTTGTCCGCACGCTTACTCACTGCTTCGCTTCCGAACCGCGCGCTCCAAACATTACTGAACGCCTCTGATGGAAGCACCCCTATCCCAATGCGGAACCTCGGCATCACGTCACACCCAAGTCGTACCACTTGAAAAAAACTCGGACTGGCATAAAAAGCGAAATTGTGGTCCGAGGCATAATCCGCGTTCCTTCGTACCCACCTCCACCCTCCTCATCCCACTTTACCTCGCATGGGCCTCTCGACCTGGCTTCTGATGTTCGTCGCGCACACACTCGAGTTCCGCATGCTGCTGCAGTACCGCCTCTACCACGACCAAAAGCGCGACATCACCGCCCCGCGCGAGCACGCCACGTCCGGCTGGGAGCGCGCGAGCATGCGCCGGTGCTGGGAGTTCTTCGACATGACCAGCCGCAGTTTTTCGACTGAGCTCAAGGGCGACCTCGCGTGCGTCGTACGTCGACCTCCCTCATTTCGTCCTTCCTGTTTTCCGTTAAATCGGTTAAATTAACCCGCGCGCCCAGGTCTGCCTCTTCTACCTCGTCCTCCGGGGCCTCAACACGATCGAGGACATAACGCTCCCCCCGGCGCTCAAGCTCCCGCTGCTGCGCGACTTCCACGTGCACACCACGACGCCCGGCTAGGCCTTCACGGGCTCAGGGTCCAACGAGGCGGACGCGCTGCTGCTCTTCGATTACTCGCCGCTGCTCGTCCAGTACGCGCCGGTCATCGAGGAGCTGCTGCGCCTCCCCGAGCGGTACCACGACGCGATCGTGGGCATTACCGCCAAGATGAACGCAAGCATGGCCAATTTCCTACATTGTAACTACAGGCCACATAATTCGTACACACGGCGCTCCCAGAATCAAACTCGTTCGATAATATACCGCATCATCATGCCCTGGAACGCCGAACACTCTAACTGCAGCGGCGGTACGCCAGCAAGGAACCGTGATCGCGCCTTCTCCGACGCCACCATGCTCGCGAACTTCTCGTCTGTTTGAACGCCGAGGAACAGGAAGACAGGCCCGAGCTCCTCTATACCGTAGTCCGCCAGCAGCGTCATGACGGACGGAGGGACATCCGCGACCGGGTACATGCGCTGGCGAGGGCACTCGTGGCGCGGGGGCTGCAATGAGGTCAAACATCCAGAGTCGAACATGAATAGAAATTGTGGGCCTACGGGCGCGCTGCGCGGTGTTCCAGATAGGCCTACTTGCCGCGCGTCCAGGAATCGGCTGATATGCACGAATATAGGCCAACAGTCCGCGTATTTCCTCATCGACGGCCGAGCTTCGCATACCTGTGGCCGGTCAACAAAAGCCATCTCAAGTTAGGAAATTGCACGCACCGATTCAACAACCGCTTGGACCTCGCGGTCGTCCTGCTCTTCAATGGGTTTCTCGACCTCGAGGAACCGCGGAATCTCGCTCTCGATGCAATCCTAGGAGAATATCAACGACGGACTTGAGTGTGAAAGATAAAGCGTACCACGATATCGAAGTATTCGTTGTCGTCTGTGATCCGCATGTGCTTCTTGATATGAACGTAGCTGCATGTGTGCTGCCCCAAGACGTTCACCAGCCCCTCCGGAGGACGTGGGATCGATACCGCTTGAATCTTCGCGGAACGAGGCCCAGTCGCAGTGTTGTCGAGGTGCGTCTCCAGTAAGTCGGCGATCTCTACCTTTTCAACGAATGTCATGTATTTCGGGGCGATGCTGTCCAGGAATCCCTCCTGCTGCCTCGCACTCAAGCAGAGAAGGGCTCGCAAGTGGTGGTCCGCGATGACACCGACCGTGATCAAGGCTTGGAGGAGGTCGTCGCGCCCTTTGAATAATAGTCGGAGCTCGGTGGTCTGTTCGGGAGGAATCGATGGTTGAAAACCGCAGAGTACACAGGCGCTCCAGCTGGCACGCTGTTTTGCGGGCTGCGAGTGGCGGGGAGCAGAGCTGCTGCCGGGGAAGCGAGGCGACGAAGAGGGTGCAGAGGTATTGGCGCTGATCTGGCTCGAAGACAAAGACTTCGGTTCAAGTTAGCGCCAGAGAATGCAGATGTGTATCATGTGAGCCTACGTATTCACGACGTGTCGTTGAAGAAACTCCGCTGCGTCTGGCGGCCAGTAGCTTCCCATCCGATTGAGTAAATGACGTCGAGAGAGCACCCTGCGAGCCCGAATAGCGCTGCGAACCAGCCTCCTTGACGTGCGTTGAAATCTATGGAAGGTTGAAAGATCTGCGTGATATCAATGACGACGACGCACCCGTTCATTCTCAGGCCGAGTGGGTGGCTGCGGGGGAGTCCCGTGCGAGGTCAAGGAGTGCTGTGAGGAGGACTGCTAGACATTGGTGGCTGTTTACGGGAGAATTCAGCAAGAGATCGACGTGATCTTCACGACGTACGCGTTCGCTCAACTTTTTCTTCCCGGGCCGAGTAATTTCTCCTGAGTGAACAGCCTGTACGCCGGAATGGCGCTGCGAGTCGATGTTGGTTTCAGTCTACGGTAAAGTTGTATTCAATGAGAGATTTTAACTGGTCTGTGTAACGTACCCGGTCGTTCAACCTTTCCTTCTCGGGCTGAGTAGGTGGTCGCGAGTGAGGCAACTGTACGCCTGAGTTAATCTGCCAACCAGATTGCGTGGCGCGAGGCGCGATCTATGTGATATGGCGGTGAGCACCAGATCTGCGCGATCTTCATTCACGACGCACCCGGGGTTCCTCCACATTCTCCTTCTAGGCGTCCGGTCCCCCCTTACGCTTTCCGGGGCGTTGCGCGCTGGAATCCAGACCCTTCACGGGCGCAGGCTGTTGGGCATTCTGGGATTTGAGACGTTTGTTGCGTTCCAGTCGCCGCCAGTAAGTATACTGCGTGTAGTAAAACTCAACGGGCCAGTGACCCGCGAAGCCTTTCAGCGCCGGAAACGCCTTGACGCACTACAAAAGAGCCGACACTCAGCGAGTTCGCGTGCTCGACGCGTGGAACATACATTTGCAACGAGCTCTCTCCACTTGGCGGGATCCTGCGCCGGCGGCCCTGCATACGTGTCGAACTGAAGTGCAGCTGCTTTGGCCATTACATGCTCCTATGAATCTCGATATCAGAACCCCGAAGACCCATCGGCGTTGGACAGACTTTTAATTTGACGAAGTCCTCCTGCTTCCAAGACATGACATCGGCCATGTCTCGCGCATTGGTCCCAGATATCCTCGAGGGCGCCCATTTAGGCCGTGGAATTGGAGTTGGCGTAGGCATGGTGGTGGTTGTGGTCAGAAGTTAGTACGCGTTGTTGATGTTTTGATCTTGTTGAACGAGCCGGGTTCATCATCGGCCATCATTCGGCATTTGTTGCGATCATCACTGAATGTTACGGTGGTAAACGTCAATGTTGAAGACAGTGTATCTTCTAAATTGTCTCAGTATCCTGTTTCCGCTCGAAGCTAAAGGAAGCATCCCGTCACTCGGTAAGACAGGATCATTTGTTGCAAGCGGGAACAGTAGCGGGAGAGCTGCTGGCGACCGACACTCAGGTTCGGATCAGGCCTGCCGTTCATTGTTGGCGGATGCGATCAGATTTGGGTTCCGAGATTAGCCGGCCCGCTGGCCTGGGGACAGGCTTGCTCCGAACCTAGGGGACGCCACGGGTGCGTGAAATAATTTCAATATCGACCGGATAGGACCGGATTCAATCGAACCAAGACACCGGATAAGTATTTCAAATTGGCTTCGAGCTATGTAGTATCTAGGGGCTAGCGCCGCCTCCCCTGTCATGTTCAGTATCCCTCGTTCCGTCATAAAGACCTTTTGCCCGGGATCCAGAGGACTCGCCTCCCTGCCTGTCCGTCGTCCCCGTCGGTTCTGGGATCTTCATGTTCCCGAAGTGAGCAAGCCTGTCAAGTCCGCAGCTGACATTAACACACTCAGGCCACATGGGACTACCGGCCCCGCAGAGTGCTGCACCCGAAGCAACCTGGCCGCTCACACGAACGTGCCCGGAGTTGGGTATCTATACCGGACGCAAACCTCCCCGAGCCTTGGACGTGCAACTGGGCGCACTGGCCGTACTGGGCTGCATCGCAACCACTCGAGGCCACCCTCCCGACTCACTACGCGCTCAGTGACGCGCCCCTTACTCCCGTGATGTTCAACTCCACCAATGCAACGGCGACGACAGTCTTCGCGTGCGCCACCACTGGTAAATTTTATCTCTATTACGGACAGTGGGCATCGCCAACGCAGCCCAAGGAGGTGTACGCCTTCGAGGGAGCATTTTCTTCTGTGGAGGGAGGCATTTATTGAGCAGGCGGATTGGAATCGCATGGAGCAAATGCAACCCGCCAGATGGGTTCACAGTAAGCCTTTATCATCGATAAAACCGATTCTGACCTCAACAGAGGCAACGGTAGCATCAAACATCGCTCCTACGCTCCCTTTGATCAGTAAAAGGGGATTCCGTGTCGCCGCCCACGAGCCATAGTAAGTCCCCTTCCATTCATCTTCATTCATCCATTCACGATGCTATCCTCTGACCGACCCAGTCATAGGCGCACGCTCTGGGACATGTGCCCCCCACCGGTACGTTGCGCACCTTCCATCGGTTCTGTCCTTAGCTCACGTCCCAAACAGGGCACATTTGGGTACACCCCGCGGCAGCTCAAACACTACGGAATTAAAGACAACTTACACCGCGTTTCTGAGTGGCCGCGCATCCTTGACTCAGAGCTCCCCGAGCCGTGGTCTTGTGAATGGGACGCCTTCATTGATTCCTTCAACTGGTACGAGGAGCCTCAATTGGACCTGGTGGAAAGATACGGACACGCGCTTGCGGGGTTTGTCCCTGCGCTGTTCGTGCCGCTGGACCCCTACCGTGGAGACACTGTGCTTTGTCCGCCCGGAGGCGCGGGGACATATTACCTGTGGGGGAGCGAGATCCTCCAGTGGGACC